CGTCAGGGAAGTGCCCAGGCCAGCTACAGCCAAAACTGATTCTGTTACAGAAACATAATCCTCAGGGCCACACCCATTTCTGCCAACAGTTGTGCATTTAATTTAAAATAACTTTTTAAACATACTTAAATTTGAAAAGTCAAAGCAAAAACTGCCTGCAGCATCTCCCCCCCTCTAGGGCCAAGGTGCTAGTTTGGTCACACTCGAAGAGGTGTTACACTACCCTCGCCCTCCCATTCTTCAAACCAAGGTTAAATAGTTTGGTACAGGGGAGGCTATGCCAGCTGTTTAACTATGAAAAGGGAGCAGCATGGAAGAGGACAACACAGATAATTTGAGATCTATCATCTGTTATTAGGTCAGTGGATTCCCACATACTGTTGCGGTCAAACTCCCTCTAGCTTCCACACAAAGCTGCTGTTGGCAGAAGCACTTATCCCAGAGATAAAAGCTCTTCTTGGACCCAAATTAACCTACCTAGCTCTGCCAAATGAGTTTCAAAATACATTCTCCACCACAGCTTCCTAGACTGACAGTCTGCAAGCAGGTTTTTTTTCTGGGGTTTTGCTCATTCTATGTTAGGAAATATAAGAAACTGCAACTTTAACCTGGAAGTGGGCTGAAAACCCAAGCTTTATATTTGTCTAGCTAGACACAACAGCTTTTACATAGCTGCAATGACTTGTGCTGTGAGAACAAGTGATGTATACTGTTGTTTATTGAAACAGATGGATAACAAACTATTTAACATTTCCATGCAACAAACAGTTAAGATAGGGAATTTGATTACTAATACAGTAAATGGTGCTTCCATGTGTGGCCCTTGCTATGGGATGGGACTTGCAGCAAAGGATTATGTTCAAAATTGCAGTTTTTTCTCCTGATACCAGCAAAGCCATGCAGTCAGGAGTCAGATATTTCTCTTGTAGTCAGAAGACAGGAATACTCCTCAACATAATTCAGGCTCTTGAAGAAAACCAAATAGTTCCCAAGTCAAAAATGTTATAGAATCACGGAATTGTTTAGGTTGGAAATGAGCCTTGAGATCATTTGAGTTCAACTGTTAACTCAGCACTGCCAAGTCCACCACACATTTATGTCCCCTGGTGCTGCATCCAAACATCTTTTAACTACCTCCACGGATGGCAATTCCACCACTTCCCTGGGGTAGCCTGGTCCAATACTTGACAATCCTTTCCAAGAAGAAATTTTTCCCAGTATCCAATCTAAACCTCCCTTGGCACAACTTGAAGCCATTTACTCTCGTCGTATTACTGGCTGCCTAGGAGAAGAGAACAACCACTACCTGGCTACAACCTCCTTTGAGGCAGTTGTAGAGAGTTTTAAGGTCACCCCTGAGCTCCCTTTTCTTCAGGTTAAACACCCCCATCTCCCTCAGATGCACCTCCAAGGACTGGTTCTCTACAGAGTCACAGATTCACCTGACACAGCACATGCATTCAGCAGGTAACTTTTAAGAGCACACTTTCAGCAGTACACATACACAATAGACTCCTCCAGCCTCTCCAGAAAGCAGTGTGCTAGTGTCTGGTTATGATTAACATAGCCTCTGAGTAATGCCACATGTTAACAGCCTGTCCTGCTGGTGACTCAGCCCAGGGCTGCAGAATGCATGCAGGGCACAGATGATGCCAACATCAGAGTTCAGCAAATGAACAAGCCACCAAGTGCTGCAGGTTTGGCTAGGAGCCAGCAGCAGTACTCTGCCTTGCTATGCAGGCAAGTGTGTGTGTGTGTGTTTTCCTCACCTTCCTTCACTAGCTGTCTTTTTTAACACACTTGTACTTGATTTGGTTTCTTGGGATGAAGTAAGGCTGTGTTAATCAGCAAGACAAAAACATACTGCACAAGAGCCATTAGCCTTCTTCAGATGTCTCTACAATGGCCTCATGGCAGTTTCTAGATGAATAATCTTATTATTGGACAGAAGGAAGTAGAAGTCTAATCTCCACAAAACCCTTTATTTTTACTGGGCAGTATAGCTCAGCCAGAGACAAAAAACAGGTGCAGGAACAAGCACGGCTCTGGAAACTCATTGACTAATTAATTAAAAACAAACTGATATCCAATGTAACACTTCCTGTTCAAATGTCATCTTGAACAAGTTAAAGGCATTTGTACCCCTCTAGTTTAAGGATGCTACTAAGCAAAGCCATGTTTTATAGAACTGAGTGAACACAAGGACAGCTCTGAGCACATTCAGCAAGTGTCTGAACTAAGAAGACACAAGGCCAGAATTTATGGTATTTTGAAGTAGCTTGCATAGGAAAGGCTTGATTAGCACTTGACTTGCCCACCTGCCCATGTGGAAGGTTGCCAAGAATAAAACACACACACAAAGCCCCAAGACAGCTAAGGTTCATAATTTCCTCTTCAAGAACTTTCCATACAAGCTCTTTTGCACGGATTCAAAAGAATATGCCATAGACACTCCAGAAAGCATTATTCAAGCCACATGAAGTTAGTAACTTCAAAATAAAGAATTCTTAACTTTCTTGCCAAAGGCTGAATTTTTTCCAAGCCTAGTAAATTAACTAAACAAGGTCTCAATTCCAAGCTATTCAAGACATCTTATACTATCTTATATGCATCTAGAGAGTTGTATTATCTAATGTGACCCACTACCTTTAATTAATGAGTTGAGAATTCCTCCTGACCACCACCATTTACCTAGGCTGCAGCAAAATGCGCCTTACATACATGGGACAGAGGTAAAAAGCTCAGACAGCTTCAGATCCCTGACAGACAACTGTAATCCAGTCAGTAGAAATGATACATACATATTGCTACATATCTACCAAGGTTTTCCTTATCTCCAGGTTTGTCCTTCTGTGAGGTGTAAGTATCACATTATCAAGTTGCTCAACAAAACCACGTGAGAAGATGTTTTATGAGAAGGGTCTGACTGGGCCCAGAGGGGCAAGTCAGTATTAGGGTGCTCTCTGTGTAGCAGTAATTGCTTCACTGTACTATGGAAAGAATGGGTTTGAAATGCTATTATGAGTGGACACAATTTTGGAGACTGCCAGTCATAATGAGCAAAAACACTTAACTACTTATTTTCAAAAACCCAAACAGCTGACAGGAAGTCATACCATATTCTAGTCAAACCCAGGATATAATACTTTTATGAACTCTTTGTATTTGCACTAGATAAGACCAGCAAGCAGGGGAGACAATCCAAACAGGTTTAGCCATAAAAAAACTGCATGATAGATCTGTTGGGTGTACTTCCTTTTGTTCCTTCTCACCTGTGGAATTTTTTATCCATTAGCTGTGGGGAAACCTGATTGATGGTACTAGCTGAGTGCCTGAGAAACACAGGGCATTTGGCTGGGCCCGGCGGGGAGGACGGGGGCAGCTGGCGACTGGCTGGTTTTCTTGGGCTGGAGAGGAGACACTCTCTCAGAGCTGTTGTGGCTGGGAGAAGGGAATTTGCCATCACCCAGACGGAGCTGCTGCTGCTTCTTCTTTCTTGTCTGTGTGCCTCACACCCCCTGTCCTGCCGGGACGTGTGGCAGTGCCAGCCACCGCCGTGGAGCTGCTGATCCACCTCAGCCACCAGCCCAGGATCTCAGCTCATCCCTGCTGTTCCAGCCGAGTGTTCCTCAGAGCCCTGCAGGAGCACCGGGACTGCCCACCCGAGGGGGTTGTGAAGCAAAGCCTCTCCTCCATCCCTTCCCATCTCGGCCGAGAAGGCTCTCACAGGGTCCCTGGTTCTGTTTTCTTGTTAATGCTGTAGTTATTGTTTTGTGTGTTATACACACTAGTAAAGAACTGTTATTCCTATCCCCAGATCTCTGCCTGAGAGCCCCTTGATTTCAAAATTATACTAGTTTGGAGGGAGAGGGTTTACATTTTCATTCCAAGGGAGGCTCCTGCCCTCCCTACCAGACACCTGTCTTCCAAACCAAGACAAGATCAAAACTGAGCACCAAGCTTCTGAAACAGATCTGTTTTAAAATAAAGCCTAAAAAGTACTTACACCATACTGAAGAGCCACCCATTTTTGTGTGTGTGCAATTGTAGGGTTTTTTGTTTAGTCTGAACAATTGGTTCCCTCACTGTAGATATTATACTATTGCCAAGACAGAAAAAAAATTAAAATGTGACAAAGACAAAAAAAATTGAAACTGAGGTCTGTAAAAATCATGGATTGTACATATTATGTCAGTAACTTATGTCAAGGACTAAAGTTTAATTTTACAACTGCATTAACAAAATTCCATGAAGCTGTTAATGCCTTCTGTGTTACCACTTAGAAGGGGAAGAACAACAAAATCTTTGTTACAAACCTTATGCTAAGAGTGAAGATCATTTGTCCCAGATGACTTGGAACAATTTCAACTCAAATATATTAATCTCTAAATGAAGCATTTCTGAATCTATCTTATTACTAATATTTACTGTCCCTTTATTTTCCTCACTCTTCACCTGTCTCTAAAAAAATACGGAAAAATAAAAAGGAATTTGAAAATTCAATTTGATCTGTTTTGTGCTTATGGGCCCAGCCACACTTGATCAATGTTTAAGGGTCTTGTTTGCTTTATTTTAAAATATGCTTCGCACATCATCAGGTATATTTTATTGCAGATTTTTATAAGGCTTATAAATTTAGAAGTATTATAAACCCTATAAATTTTATAAGGTTTATAATACTTTAAATGTAGGCATATTTAAGTAGCATCTTTTCAGAACACACTTGTCACTGGATTCATTTTAGACACGACACACAAGCCAAATACCATAATAAGTATTCTTAGGCATACTGAACATCATTCTACTTGTCCCAGTATCACCACTCTAACAACTACTAGTGTGAAGTTTTTAACTGTACCAGAAAAGCATCCTACAAAACCAATGTCCCTTGTGCAAAGCAGCCAAGTAAATATTCAGTACTGGGTAGCTAACATATTTTTTAGATATTTTAGATATAGATAGATATTTTATTATCACTTAGATGGAAAGAGCATACTTACTGCTACGAAGAGCATGCAGTACATGGAGAAGGAAGAATGGCCAGAATAAAATGATAGTCTGGAAAAGAAAAGATCAGACCTCATCAGTTTTCTTTTACAACATTCAGTCTGCAGTGATACTAATCTATACTATACAAGTGAACTGGTAAAATGCAGACGTGTCCATACTACTCTTCAAGAAGGCTCCCTAGGCACATCACACAGATTTTGACAAACAGTACAGACTTCATCTGATCTCTGCGTCAGGCAGTAAGTAGTAGACTTTTGACTGAAGTTTGAACAGCAAGCGAACATACCTTCAAAGAGAGTAATCAAGTGTCCTTCAATAGTCCATCTTGACAAATACCAGAATACTTGAAATATAATTACTTCTTAAAATTCCTTATCTTATAGTCACAGTATATGTATGAATACAAATGACATTAATCACCCCAAAACATCTAGTCACCATCAACAGGCAGTAGTTAACCACTCATATCTAGTAGACTACATTACATCTATACACCTTTCTGAAATGTATGATTCACACAGACCCATATCATTTATCATTGAAGGGTAGGGAGAAAGGCAGGAATGCAGTTTATTAGCCAGCCAACTGCAAAAGATGAAACCTCATCTAATATTTGTATGAATTATTTGTACTTGGTGATCTCATTTAAAGTGCCAACATTGCCTTCAGCTCCCAAAGGCTTTTATCAGGTCCAGGCTGAAGGGACTTGACAGTTGACACTGTCCAGGATTTCCTTTGGCCAGGTCCTCCCCTGTACAGCTGGTTTTGTGAGGAGCCACAGCTGTAAAATAAATGCCACCTACCTCTTCAAGAAGAGAAGGCAAAATGGAAAGGCATTTATATTTTAGTATTAAGCAGGCAGATGAGAGAACTCTACTTAGCACTTATTTTTTCCATTTTATGCACAGAGCCTTGCTACAGTGCTGCTTCACAGGCCACCAGCCAGGTCTCAGCCAGCCTTCTGTGCAGTTTAACTACACAACCACATCACCCTTCCCTCAGCAGTCTAACACACAAAAACATGGCCAGCTTCATAAAGTCTCATAGCTCTGCAGACTGACCTCTACCATATCCAGCAAATCGCTTGTTTTGGAGCCTCTGCCAGGCACAGACCCTGAGGCCAGGGAAATTCCTGGTCAAGGGAAACATTTCCACTCTTTGGACTAGGAGTAACAAAGGCAGCTCTGACACGCAGCAATATAATGAAGTTACAGGTACCCTACTCAATACCACAAAGAAGGAATGAAAATGTCACGTGCACAATTGAAACTGCAAAACTTCCTGAATTAATTTTCATGTATAACATTAAGAAACTGCATCAGAAAAACCCTACATAGGTTTATTCCAGAGGTTTTAGAGCTTTTGGTTCATGGTTGATTTAAAACATTGGCAATTGCTTTCAGTTTCTGAGGTACTGAATAAGCAATCTGAAATAAGATGACTTTTGTTGCACCAAATTGATATTTTCCAATTAACTTCTTAAAAAGAAAAACTTTGACAATGTACTAGCTTCAGATGTTTAAAGCTCAAAGCCATTAAGATTACTTTTCCACTCTTGTACTATAACACTTAAAATTTCTGGGCAAGAGTCCACTAGGAAAACCAATACAACAAGCACTTTGAAGAGCCCTGTCCTTCAAGCGTGTCATCTGAGAATGCAAAGCATGCTGTTCTACAGAAGATGCAGAATAAGGAATTCTTGGCTATTATGACAATATTTTATCCAATAGCTCTGGGGTTATTCCTGTTGGCCATAAGATGACATTTCCTACAATTATTGAAAGCAACCTGTTGCCAACTGGAGGAATTTAGAAGACTAGTAAGTGATAAAAGGAAGAAATATCATTATTTAAGTTTATTTTGGAATTCCTATACCCTTTTAAAAGTGTTCTTGACTACCAGTCTTTTTTGTTTCAGGAATGTATTAGCCTAAGGTACATTAAGAATGCCTTGTTCCAGGTTAAAGATTACAAATTTTGAATGTATTCTATCAGGCATGGGTAAGTATGCTGCACATGAAAATATTGTGCTTAGCACACGAAGTATTGCCAGAGATACAGCTGGGACAAAGTATTGATCCAACTTGCACATTGTGCAATCTCAATGAAATTTCTTTGGCAATACTGCTGTCTCTAGAATTCTTTAAAAAACAGACTTTTTTTTAAAAATCCTAAAATCCTTTCAAAACACCAAGACTGACAATGAAAAATTTTCCAGCAATTTATTAGCACATAAGTAATGTTTTCCCAAAGCCAGGAGAATGTCATGTCTATCAGACCAGCCAAGCACTTGCACAGCCCAGGCTTCTTTGTGATCCTTCTGCAAGTGCTGGTTTGCCATGAGCCAGGAGTAAAACGGTATAGACAACTCTCCAAATCCCTACCTTTCACCAGTGAAAGAAAGGCTAACTTTTCCCAGTAGGAATTCCCACATCAGATTCCAAAATACCCTTTTCAAAAGAGTCTTACAACAATATCCAGTGAAACTAAAGTATCATAAATAGAGCTGGCAACTGCAATCTTGATCTGATTGTTTCCAAACCAGCCAGTTCTGACAAAAAACCCCCCAGTTATTCAGAGGCCCATGTCTTTCATTCCATCAATACCTACCTCACAGATCTCTCCCTATGTCAGGAACAGGGTTTCATTTTAATAGGAAAAAAGCACAAGCTTTAATTATCTCCACTTGGATAATATATTATTCCCAAGTAAGAAGAATGCCTAAAGTAGTAACATGAAACCAACTTCAGGTCTCAGCTGAGGTCTAAAGTATATTCTTAGATTCCAATGTACACAGTAGAGCTGGACATCATGAAAAGGTCCTAAAACAAGGTAATTTAAGGGCTGGTTTGCCTTCTTGAAACTTAGTTTTGTTATGAATTTCACATGGTTTCCAATAAAGACAAAAGTTAAGACACAATAGTTCTTAAAAAGGTTGCCATAAGATTGACGACTATTTATCACTATGGTTTACATTTTAATAATGTCTGCATTTTTAAAAAATACCTGGAAAAATAATCAAAGTAAAAACAGTTCCTGCAAGAAGCATATCAGCTGAACCACTTTGTTATTTTAGCCAGGATTTCTAAATCCAGATAAGCAAAACTAAGAGAGATTGCCTTGGAGGACTTGACACTGACAACCTTCTATTACTTTCCATGCACAACACCAGCTTAGCCTAGGGAGCAGAGCTGGCCTGACAGGTTATGTTTCTTTAATTAGTAGAAGAATTGAACATAGCACACAGCACATAAAAGGATTATTTTTCTCGGACTGTGACTTACAAGAAAGAGCATGTTTTAAGTAGCAAGTTCTGCTTGGCACTATTTTGTAAAGTGCATGATTTCTTAAAAGTGAATTACTGCATACTGGAACTCAGTAAAGAAGCTTGATGTCTTGTCTTCATTTAATGTCTTCATGTGAACACCTGAATGCACAGAAACTTTAAGACAAATGCAGGAACCTGACAGGGAAATTCATAGCCTTGGAAAACACAAGACTAGAGAACAGCTAAACACCTATGGTACAGTGGAGTATTAAATTGTGACACATTAAAGTAAACGACAGTAGAAAGAGATACACCACAAGAAAGGTCATCCTCTGGTGCTACAATAAATCTGGCAGAGGCTGAATGATAAGGAAATCTTCCCAATCTAACTACAGAATTATGGAATGATCCCTTGGAGAAAAACAGAAGGCTCAGCAAAACATTATGCACACTCCCATATCAAAGCTAATGCATACACCCAGCTGGATTAGCCAGCATGTCCTTTCCATCTTCAGGTTCCCTGGCTTCTCTGAGCTGACTCAAAGCTTCCACTGACAATTGTGTTACCCATTCCATGATCTGGAGTGGAATAAATGCTAGAGTGCTGCAGCTCAGCTTGCCTGTGTTGAGTAAGCCAATGCCTGTGGCAAGCAAGCCACATGCTTGCCAGTGAAATATTCCTAGTATTATTTAAACCATGACGGTTTAAAGTGCTAGTTCTACACTTAAACAAAAATTGACTTCTTTAAAGTCAATTTTAAATGTGAAATTCTATAAATAAGAAGATGCATCTACCTGCTTGGTTGGCCCCAGCTAGCTCCCAAACAATGTTCAGGATGCACTGAACACAGATACATATTTTAATTTCTTATGCATGAGGGGGAAGAGTTTTCATTTCCATCATGAAAATGATATTTTGCAACTGCAGTAGTCATAAAAGATTAATCATGACAGACAGTATTGCAGTCTTTTCTAATATGTAGCAAGTTTTGAATGGAACAAGTTCCCAGCACTGATGAAATCAGACAAGAGCTAAAGATTGCCCCAATGCAATACAACTACATATGTTTTGGCAAAGGGCAAAAGTGTGAATCTGAACTGAAATTCATTACCTGTCACTACTACAAAGGTCCAGTTCACACTAGGGCAAAGGAGATGTAAGATCAGAAATAAGATCCAGATTTCAGAACTGCATCTCATTTGATTAGAGATTTCTTTCAGATTCAATTCTCCCTACCACCAGTCATTTTTTTTTGGCAAGGCAGGTCCTTTTGCTCCTAGGTAAGTACAGCCCCATTTCAACAAGCACTGCCAGCCCAAAAGCCTCTAAGGCTTAAATATTTAAATGCTCTTATTCACTACCATTTTTCCTTCCATGTAAAATTACGTGTAGTTGCTCTAAGCTCCACTTCTCAAATGTGATAAGTAATTTCAGTAGGATTGTAAGCATTCCCAAATCAGCCAGTTTATATCTTGAATAATAGTAATGGCATAAGGGTGAAAGCAGCATTTAAGCAAAAAGCTGTACCATCTGAATAGTAGTACATGTGTGGCCTTCCATTCCTTTCAAATGCCTTGGTATCCAAGCTGCTTCAGCTGTTTGTGTTTTGGGGTGGTTTTTTGGGGGGGGGTTTTGTTGTTTTTTTGTTGGGTTGGTTTTCGGGTGTTTTTTGCATGTACATTTTCAGATGTGAGAACTCGTACATTAGCCTCCAAGGAAAACTCCTATACATAGAAATTTCATTAGTGTATAGCACTTCACAGTTTGAAAGCTCCATAAA